CATAAGTTTAGGGTTCCTCTTTAGGCTTAAATATTTTAAATGCTTCAGAATTGCAACTGAACTTGGAAATACCTCAAAAGAAGAATATCTTAAATCTAGGAGTCCCATATACTCGAATCTTTAGAAAACACATTTCAAGAAAAGTTGTCTCAGTAAGTCGCTTTTAAACATCTTGAGCATGGAAATCAGCGTGAGAAAATGATAAATGCCGAACTTTTTGAGAGATACTTCACCTACAATTATCGATGATTGATCACTCCCTTTCTGCCACTAACAGCTCTAGATCATGCATTTTAAAGCAGTAAAAGTATCCTACATCCTGAAAATCTTCAAGGAAAAATATATATGTAGTTCGTTCATTTTTTGAGTAAAGATGGCCGCCTCATGTCCCCATTGCTAAGGGTACACCTTCACACTTTTTGACAATGTCCTTCCCTGTTGCCGCAAGATTTTGATAAATTCTCCTTTAATGACCATTTCAGCAACAAAGTCAAACCCACGCATTTGCAAGATCTCTCAGGTTGCAAGTCGGAAGCGTGCCCATCATTGAAGCAACTATGGGGCTGCGTGTAGTCGCAAGTTCTTACTTCCATCAGCATCCCAACTCAACAGATTTCTCAACTTGATCCATTTGTCAAGCTCTTCGTTCTAAACATCATCTAAGACCAGCAAGAATTTCTTACTATCTAATGCTCATCAAAGGTACATTTGCAGGTTTCAGGATCCAAATCAATACAGTTTTCACCGGTTGCCAATTTGATAATAGTAAACGTAAGGAGTTTCAGATCAAATCCCCTAGATACACGCATCCACAAAACTAATATTTGCTTTATCTGGTGTCAAAAGTGAGCTACAAACAAATAGAACACCTTTTAGAAATATCATTATTATCACATCATTCGTAAATGCATGAATGTGATGGGGACAAAAAAATCTGTGATTCCTAACCGAATAGGTAACAAAGCATGTAAGGTCAAAATTCCCAACTACTCCTTTCATCATTGAACACGAACTTTGCATGTGTGGTGTTTCCAAGCCTCCAACTCCAAATAGGCAAAACAAATATGTGTTGAACATCAGAAGGCCGCATCAATAGCCACAAACTTTTCTCTCTATCTCTGTATCTCCGATGACATCCGAAGATATCACAAAGGAATGTGCCATCTCCTTCCTCACATGCACTACAACTCTATCAGCCACTATCTCTGAAAGATGGAATTTAGCTATATCAGCTGCAATCTCATCCAATCTCTCAGTCGCTTCTTTATCTTTTGCCCTATACTAAGACGAAATCTAACCGGATCAGATCAAAAAAGGAAGCGACATACCTTGCAGAGAAAAACACTTGGTCAGCAAGAGACTCAAGCATTGCCGACACATAGTCGGCTACGCTGAAGAGCAATGTCTCAGCCATTGAATGAAAAAGAAAAAGAGAATAAAGAAGATGCTTTACTTTGTGCGCTCCATATGTATGATTTCTGATACAAATAGATGGACTAAACGTTATTGTATAAACAGGAAAATGAAGTGAACTTGTGGACTGCTGCTAGCTGTTGAACGTTGATAAAATGGTTGTTCATGTATTAAGCAATGTAAGAAATTATATTGCGCCAAGAATCTGAATCATTATTTTATTTTATTTTATTTATTTATTTGTTATTATTATTATTATTATTGTTATTTTTGCTCCGATTCTTAATCATTTTGGCGTTCCCAACTCACAATATTTCTTCACTCAACAATTCTCTAAAGTTTAGGCAATATAAAGTTGCTTAGAAGTGTTACTTTGCAAGTCATGTATCTTAGGCAAGCAAAGGATTAGAGCTTCTAAGCCCTATGCACAGACAATATCACAGGAAATGTCTCAACAACAAATCAACTTAACTTTGCCTCCAAAGCGACACAATATAACTACACAATATAACAATTAGTTGGGATAACCCTGAATCACCATTCAGTCCCAAGCCATCTGTATTCGCAACACCAAAAAGTGTTTTTTCATTCCCCTATCTTTCATTCACCATATCCAGAATTTGGGGCAAGAAGAAATTATTAGGTCTAGGATGCGAGTGGGATGAATTAACATACGCAATAAAAAAATGAATATAATAAAAACAAATGACAAATTTGGCATTTATTAGTATCCACTTACCAAGCCATGACCAAAAGAGTACATGGAAAGACCGGTTACAAAAGCCCCTACTACGTCCGAAATATGCATTCCCGACTTTATATCCCACCTTTAAAACAAAACAAAAAATCCAGGATAAACGTTGTTTCAGATGTCTCATTCAAGAGTGAACAATTCAACCAGATCATTTAATAAATGTAGAACGCTTCAAGCTTCAGTGTGGCTCTTGACGATGAAATTCTGGCGGCTTATGGGATTCATGACGACCGGTGGGCCAGCAGTACGAGGCCATGCCTGCAACTTCTTGTCAGTTTCCTCCCACCACTCCTTGTTTGATACAGTATGGGGGGTAGTCCCTGAATCACAACACAGCGTATCATTAGAACCCTGAGACAAATGCAAAGGCTTCAAAACAAGTAGCAGAACATGCCTCCAAATATCTTCTTGTCAGCAATGTAGTGGTCGCATGCCCAAGCCACGGCAAATGATCCCACTATAGCAGAAATAATGTACTTGGCAGACATGACAACTGTAAAAGAAACAATACTATTAAGTGGATATATTATGTCATTCTATTATAGGAGACATATTAAACTGAAAACAGAAACCTCGCTAAAGATGCTAGCAACAAAAAGAGAGATCTATTACAAATCCCGACAATTCAACCATTTGACAGATTAGGCATTAATACCCAACAGTTCAAGTGCTCTTAACCAAGTATTTCAACAGACTAGTACCCTCAAGTGGTGGAATAGTCAAAGGGACAGAATGAACTAGACAAATAGAAGACAGAAGCTCAGGAGGGAGAGAGAGAGAGAGAGAGAGAGAGAGAGAGAGAGAGAGAGGGTTTAAAATGGTTTGCGCACCACGTGAGGTAACCAACCACAGAGCTTGCAGAAACCTAAAAGAGAGAGAACAAGGTAAAACGAATGCTTTGTTTTCTCTTATGGCTGAAAGAGGATAAATAACTATGATAGAAAAAAAGGACCTCATTAAAAGAATGTAGTGAGAGAAAGCACTCTAATTCCAGTTCCATTTGAAAACTCAAAATGACATTTAGATTGTGTTTGGATTTGAAAACTCAAAATGATTAGATTGTGTTTGGTAAGAGGGAAAGAAACAAAAGTATATAACTTAGGTAAGAAAAAAAGAGAGGAAGGCGAGGACCTTTCTGTTATTGTGTTTGGTATAAAGTTCCTCCTCTAATCTCTCTATATTGGTAGAGATTAAAGTCGGGACTTTCGGAAGGAAACGAAATCTGTCAACAATCTATTCCCTTCTATTTTCTCTCCCAACAAACAACCACGTGTCAAAACCCTTCCACTAATCCCTCCACTCTCTCCCTCCTCCCATTTTTCCCTCCTACCAAAAGTAAACCCAGCCAAAAAATTCCACCACACTAAAAATGGGTTTTGTTTCAATCCCTTGACACGACCAAAAAACATAAAGTTGCAGTGCTCTAGATGTTGTACACAGGAAATCACATAAAACGTGAATAAATAATGAGCACTGGCTCATATCTTTTATCTGTACTCTGCAATTTTCCGACTTACATTAATTAATCATTCAAGATCACATAAATATTGCGCAGTACCCTTAGTTGATTAGAACAAACCATACAAGTTCTTCAGGGATGAACTTATCTTATATTGAGATAGGATTGCAATGACTACGGAATATGAGTTGAGCAAGATGTTAATAAGGATATCGGGATTTATATTCAACCAAAGTTGAATGCTAAACCGCAATTAAATTACCAGCGTATGTAGAGGATTGCAGTATGCAACCAAGGCTCATTTTGATTTTTTGATGTACTTATATTTGTATTTTATTTTTTATTTCTTTTTATTTATGTAAGACAGTAAGGAAGGAAGGCCTTCTTTACCAGCCTCTATTTAAAACACAGCAAAGTAAAACATTTATAGGGAACCAAAACCACTAGAAATCGGTAATAAAAATAAGACTAGTTGTGGTAAGATATAAGAGAAGTTATTGACTTTTGAAATATAAAAGTAACCGGTGAAATGTAGTTATCCTAATACGGGGTAAATTTTTGAAAATGGTTGAGAATGAAACGGAGGAAAATTTTTTAATAACTATTCAAAAATTATCGTCTATATTAGCATTCATCAGTAATCAGGATAATAGTAATAAGATTTAACATTAAAAAGAGATTAAAATATATCTTTTAAAGAATTATGAAGATGAGAAAGAGTAACTTGTGAGGATTTTTTTATTTTTTTGTACTTATGAGGAAAGTTAAGTAATCGAGCATTTAGAAAATCATCAACTTTTCTGTCATTTTATGATAAGAACTAAATATAATAATAAGAAATTGCAATCATAGTAACTAGATAATATGAGTAAAACTTTAAGAAAAAAACCATTGAAGCGCCCATAAGGGAGACTATTTAAACTCTTACATGAAGAGACTAGTGAAACTCGAGAGGACAGAATATTACACTGACGAAAGAAAATTGTGATGTACGAGAATAATATCAGTTGTAACATAACAAAGTGAGAAAATCTAAAGTAAAGTATAACTATGATTTAAGACAATGGCATAGGTTATTACATACAGATAGACAGCAACATGTGTAGCCGAATGTGAGTCAATTAGAAAAATCAATTAGGTAAAGGAACAAGCATAAAACCTTGGCATAATGCAACAAGTGCAGAAACTAACTGAGGAAAAACCCAGATAAACAAGGATAAACGCAAAGATATTTTAAGAAAAAATGCCATATAGTGGGAATGCATATGGATTACAAAAGAAGCTCCAACCAAATCTAGTTACCAAACAAAGAAAGAGGAAAATAATCCTAATCTATACAAATCATCAAAAACCATTCAGATAGTGCTTAATACAAATACTTGATCTATAACATATTCAGGTCAGTATCGATACTACTATACTATAATAGCATAGACATAAATTAGTCAGGAAAACATAAAGAAATTGTAGAACTTCACTACTTTCTAAAGTAACGGGAAGATAATCAATACATCATACTAAAACAATCAAATTACGCAAAGTAGTACCTACTCTAATTGAATTATCCAAAGAAAAAACAAATTTACATGAACAACTTTACTTCTAAATGTCAAAACATATTCTTAAAATAAAGCAAAATAGAAACAAAGCAACGATAAAAATAAATAAACACACGCACTTGTAAATCCATGAGATGAGACTCAAACCGAGAGGATCCAATTAGTGATTAAAGGAAAATGCTGCGTTAGAGCGGTACAGAATCAACTTCCAATCAAGGGAGATCAGAGATATCAAACAAGAGTTGAACACAACCTTCAAGATGGGAGGTTCGTTGAACTCGTCGATCGAAAGGTAAAGAGTAGCATATATAGTTTCCATAGGCAGGCAGAAGAGAAGACAAAATTGATTCGACAGACAGGAAAACCACCACAAAGGTTATATAAGAAAACGGTTACAAATGGTTCAAATGTGAAAGAATTAAGGTTACATAATACGCTTAAAAAGAAAGAATTTGTTAGATTTCCCAACCAAACATATCGAAAGTTTCAATAAAATTAGATGGAGAGAGGGGGGCTTTTTCGGAATGGAGGCAATCGAAAGAACGCAGGGACCAGAATGAGAGCAATCGAAGGTGGCATTACTTCCTCGGGGGTTTCTTTGAAACTCAGCATAACTCTACCACAAATTCTTCCGATTTGGGCGTCAACGGAAAGTATTATCCCGAGATCAAAGACGACAACTTTACCAGATTCTTAGACGAGAAGCAGCGAAATCGAACAAGAACGGATGCTGTATATGTAATGGGAACCTTTGTTGTTGTGTTTCTGAGTTTGGCTGTAAGTCTAATGGCAACCCTAGTCCCGTTGAAAAGGAAAAATTTTCTCAGAGTTAAATATTACCTTAAAACTAATTCGACTTTCAAATTCTAATCCAAGTTTTTTCCTTTTTTTTTTTTTTTTTAAGAGAATCAAACCTGCACCAATTTTTAATGACCAACTGATATTATATATTTGTGAAAATGAATTTGGCCTCGTATAGAAACTCTTCCTTTTACAAAAACCGTGGTGTATCAGTGGGCGTAAATTACCTTTGTGAAATTATGGTCAAATGACATATGAGTAACTTGATTCTATAAGATTACATTGCGTTATTGCCCCGTTTATTATACCAATTAAGTATAAGAATTTGAAGTAAATTTATAGTTAGTCTCTTAATTCTATTTTCTTTCTAGAATTAGTCGTCTAGTAAATTTTGTCGAATAAATAATCACCAAACTAAAAAGATGTATTATGGAAGGTCATCTGTTAATTTTTGAATGAAAACCGTAAAATTGGACTTCTGAACTATTTTATGTTCTTAGAAATAGTCGTATGTTGAAAGCTATAACAAATTTTGATGGTAACTAAAAACAATTACCGAAGCTACTTTATTAATTAATGGATGAAAATGTTAAATATGATAATAATATCAAAGTTAGTCCCTAAACTAACATGATGCACGAAAATCACCTCATTAAATAAATGGATTGCAGTCGCTAAATATCCATAGTTTAGATTCTGTTCTAAATCAGTTTTGAAATAATTTTTTATTATTTTTAAACAAAAGTTAATTTTTTTTAGAAAACATGTTTTGTAAATTTTCTGTTTTGTTTTATATTTTAACAATTGCTCTAAATTTTTTGTTTGAAATTAAGGCGTCTTGTTTTTCATTTTTTCCGTAAACTAAAAATTTATTCTTTCCAAAATCAAGACCATGGTTGAGGTTGGGCTTATGCTCAAGATTAGGGTTGTGGCTGAACTTAAAGGGGCTCTTTACAAGCATAGCAAAATTTCAATAATCAAGTTTAAATATAACTAGTTTTTTAAAATATTACAAAAATAGCAAAGTTTAATATTATTAAAATAATAATTACATCATTAGATAGTACAACATGTAACATCATTATGATAACTACAATGTTATTTTTGCCAATTTAGTAATATTTTAAAATTTTTACTAAATTTAATTTAAGGTATAAAATTTTACCATATAGTGTAATTATCTCTAGTATATTACTCGACTAGGTCCATATAGTCTTTTTCTATGTGATATAATACTATAAAGTGAAACCCTTAAATCTGCATGGGCCATGTTGGCCGATAGTTTGTTAGGTAAGATTGGGACGAGGTCATAGTTGGCTAATTATGATTAGTGAGAAATTTTCAATAATGATAAAATGTTTACAATAATTGTTAAAACCTAATTCACCCCTCTTAGGTAGCATTTCTTATTTTATTACTAAAAACAAAATTGAATTTTAGGAAAACTGATCTATCTGCTATAGTTTAACTGAATTTTCATTAAAAAAATGGCGATCAAAATCAGTATTGATGTCACTTAGGGGGCATTTAGTATGTAGTAATCGGTAGTAATCGTATTCCTAAAAAAGTGATGGGGTAATATGATTATCAGGAATAATACATTACTGTATTTGGGTCCATATAAAAACCTTGTCTCAAATTTCCAAAAATAATGCATTACTGTGTTTGGTTGTGCATTTCCTCTCTCTCATTTCCCTCACGTTCACACTCTATCTCTCCCCCTCTCTCATAATTTCTCTCTCTTCCCTC